GATGATACTGTAGGACTAGTCATCGTCATTACAATGTTTCTAAACGCCATGAAAAGAAAAAGAACTATAGGAGTATGTTAAGCTAAACACACCTCCAGCTCTTTCATATCTACATCGACCAAGAGGAAAAGAAGGATTTTGTGCTGTTGCTTCTTCAGTAAACGTCAAATAAAATGAATTTCCATCCACAATTATTTCATTTTTAATTAACTAATCATTCTTTATCTAAATAAAAATTGTAATAACATTCAATCTAGCCTGTCGACCTATTTCATTTACCATATTTCTTGCGTAGGTATAAACTCTGTTTTAAAGATAATTAACTGTGTTGTAACTAATGATCATTAGAGTTGTGGATCAGTTTACAAACAAGGGTCAATTGTTTACATTATTTTAAGCTTAAGTAAGTGATTTCATTGAGAAGAAAAGTTCCTTCGCTGAATTATTTTTATTCAAATAATGAGTCATTTTATTTTCATACAGCTACTGTGCTTATGGATACAGTTTTAATAACTATGTAACTAGAGTAATATCATGTAATTATGTCCTATACTAGTCTGAATAAGTAGACAAAATAAAGATGGATATAACTCAAACTTTATTCACACAAGCACTTACAAATAGTGGAAGGATATAAAGTTCACTAGGCTAGTCGTTATATATATATATATTCCCAAATGGTAATGAATAAATAAACAACAGATCTTTGCGATCAAGGACTATCATAGGTTATATTTGAATGTGTGAAAAACAATCTATTACAATTCTTACACATTAAAATTTAATATTTGGATGTTATGGATACTTTTGCGTTTCAATCATTACATTATAGACTGACCTTAGACATCAGTTAGAAACCAGGAAGAATCGGATAGATGTTTTTTCCTAGTATGGACAACCCCTACCAATGCACATCCACGAAGTCAGAACCTCCAAATTTCGTCATCTTCGTAGTTCTAAGGTTAAGTTCTCGTTACAACACTTAAAGACACCTCCTCGTGGATAGTGCCTTCACACTACTGAGTCCCGTAATAGAACGAATCAGCTGAAAGTCTGATTTTCAGTGGTCAGTGATGTAATTTATTAAATTTTAAACTGAACTGCTTTCGAATTTGTACTTGTCCAACTAGCGTTGTGGTGATATGAACCTTCAAGCCGAACAGTGTATAATTCCAGGTTTGAGCCTTTGGATTAAAGATGGTCTTTTGGTTGGGTATATTGTTATCTTGATTTTCATGATGATTCCGTCTCACTTATCCACTTAGTTTATACTTCTGACGTTTGGGCTTTCAGTAAAATAGATATTATTTGTTTTCCATCCTATATCATTATTCTTGTCAATTCCCTATCATGTGCTAACATGAGGTATGTCAAGTTGGTATCCAATGTGGTTGTGGCAGTTAGCACGTTGTCTATGACTGACGATCGCGAATTGCCGTGAGATATGATTTCACCCCGTCCGAATCCAAATACATTTACCCACAGACGTTTTAATCGTAAAATTATAACCTATTTATTAACTACACAACACTACTTGTGAAGAGTTCGACAAAAAACTTGGATAAGACCATAATTTATGGAGGACCTTCGACAGTAACCAAAGTGAACCTGCGGAAATTCAACTAGCTAACTGGTTTGATAAAAGGTTATGAATTAGTATATGGAATCCAGTTCAGGAACTAGTGTTAAAAGTAAGGGTTAAGAAATAGAGTTTGTATATTTATCACGGATTGACATCAGCCATGAAGCTAGGATGCCATTTAGCCGTATGGATGAGTTTCGCGCGAAAACGCAGGAGACAAAATCTCAAATCCGATTGGTTATTCTATAAATTGTAGTTCTATTAAAAAATGTGAAAGAGATTAATCATTCCTAATGAACTGATGCACATTAAAAATAATAGCTTCTGTCACCAAATTGTATAATACCTGAGGATGATATAGTTTAGTTTCCAGAAAGCTGGCGCCTTGCTTGATTCAGTATTGAGATGATGCATGAGGAACTATGTAAGAATACTGTAACGACTTGTGAATTATCACTGAACGATTGAAGGCTATCGATAATTAATCAAGGATTTCGTAACGTTTACATACATAGTTGTGTTTCTTAAGTGATTTTTCACTCAATGGAGTTTAAACAAATCAATACACCAAATCAATATCCTGGATGCGTAACACTACAAGTAGCATTTAACTATACATCAAATTAATTGATGACACTAAACAAGTCGCTCATCTATTTAAAATAGCAACTAATGCATTTAGAAAGGTTAAAAATGCGTTTCAAGTTATCCATCACTTGAACAACCAATAAACTCTCAAGGTTAAAACTATTCGAATATCAGCCTATCAATTATGTAGGTTAAAAGTTTTTTAAATATATAAACGCATTTGGCATGACAGACAGGCGTGGGCGTTACTTTTAATCACTACATCCTATCCACATGTGACTATGGATCAATACGTAAAACAAATTCCAAGTTAGACATGTCCTAATGAATTAGTGATAATAGGTAGATCTATTATAAGTAACTAGTTGTCATGTTAAAAATTAATCATTATTGTAAGGAAAAAACGATACTTCTAAAATCAGTAGTAAACAATGCTATGAAAAAAGCACGGTGTCTAAAATGAATGAGCCACTTGTGTCATATAAGAAAATTTGCTTTCTTAGTTTAGATTTAGGACTAAATATTATTTTATCATTGATCTGCATGTATCTAGACGAATTAAATGGACTGATTAAATTTTACACGGACATTACATCTTCAAGTTGGACCAGGTTGAACATCACAAAACTGTATTAAAATGTAATCTGTGATATGTTTTTTTGTCCTTAAAATAGTCCCCTGGTTTTTTGGTGATATTTATTAATAAGATACATGAATATCATTATCTTTTCTAATTTAAGAAGTATTCGAAAAATTTAATACATTTAACATTATGACTTGACTTTAATTGATGCAGAAGTGAGTAGTGCAACAAGTAGTTTGTTAAATCGTAAAGGTAAAAATACTACTTTGTTTTCAGAGAGAAGTTCATTAAGAATGTGAATATTTTATAGAAATATAGCTAGTCACGTTTACTTTTTGTATAGACGTTAACATAAACCGGTGAACCATTGGAAATTAGGTCACACTACATATCTAATTATTTTAATCCACGACTATTCAGAAGTGTACACTTACATGTCGAGACGAAATTAACCTCAGGAATATCAGTCTATGAATTAACATAAAATCATAGAACTATTAAACCAGAATTAGTCGGTCCACAATTTTCAACTTCAAGATCTTCAAACGAGCTGGGAACAAACGTTCTGTTCTACCTGATTTCAATAGCTAACTGACTGCATCCAAACCACGATGAAAGTTATCTATAAATTATACAAAGCTCCTGAAAACACTCGAGTATATGCCTTTAAAAAATTTTTACTTAAGAAATTGAAACAAATCAAACTAAAAACATCACCTAGTTTATAATATGATGAAATGTGGGCATTGGTGTATCTAATGGTCAGAGGATAGTTAACTACAACAATCGATAGTTAGGAAAAGATTCGAACCTTGAAGATAAGCGGTTCTCATAACAGTTCAGTTGCCAGAGTGGAAGACCGTTTATACCAGTTGTTATTTTGAAGATCGCTGCCAAATTTATTATTTAATGAACTTAAATAGGTACATGTACAAGTACTTAGCTTCAAGTCATACCTTGTGATATGAGGATTAGTGTAAGTAGAACCATTTGAAGTTCGAATTTACAAGTTGTTGGTTCGAAGTTGAATGCATTAAAATGTAATGTTTCTTCATCAACTTCAGCAATTATTTGTATACACCTTACTACTTAGAATAGATGGGACGTAGCTAGTGGTGGAATCCGTGACTCGTGCACATATATGTCAACAAAGACTAATAGAAACTGAGTCCTGGATCACGCAAACGCTTACCCATGATGATATGTACAACTTTTCGCATCTATAAATGAGTACAACGTATGAAATAATAGTAGTAATAACGACAATAATAGTAGAGGTTATAATGATCATACATATAGCTAAATAACAAAACAACAATAACCGAATATGATGACTAAAAAACTGGTCGAAAAGGAATAAACATCAATGAATCAATACAATTACTATGTATATATTAAGAATGTGCTAATGTAATCCACGCGTAAACTTGTAAATTAGTAGATAAATGATAATTTCTTAGATGACTGCATTTTATGTACAGTAGTGAAGTTGAACAAACACATTCGGACAACTTATATGGAAACGTTTATACATTCTGCCATAGCTAGCTACAATATACAGATATCCATCCTTTATATTAATTCCCACATCAAGTACTTCCACTGATTTATGTGATAAGAAATACACTCAAATTTATGAGTTCTCTACAAAGCTGTTAACTTGACTATAAATTGCACTGAAATTATTTTAATTTTTCCATTATTTTAAGGCCAAGATCATTCATCATCATACTAAAAGAACCATATATTTCATGATTTAGACAAATTGTGAATTCTTTTGAAGAATGATTGGTAAAACGATTCGTTTTCATCTGTATTGGAAAAAAATTATTTGAAGCGAAAAGTAATTATGATTCGAGGAATATTTGGTAGAGATTAAACATTTCAATCTTTTATATTAATGAGAAATAAACGGCAAAATCATCATAGGAATTTCGAAAAAACATGATGAAATCACACCCACCGCTTTCGAATCGGCAGTCGAACTTTGACAGCTCATTTTTTAAAATCAGAGGGGTGTGATCTATAATGTCTGAAACTAACATGTTAAGTTCATTGGCTAGTTTCAAGGTTAATTCAAGTTACCTGTTCGCTTTTAGTTGGTTGATAAATTTAGCGATAAATTTTAGTTACTTAAAATAACAATGCGTTGGTGGAATAATTTCTATTGGTTACAGATGACTAGGTGTTATTCGGTCGGATAAATACGAGTTGTAGTGCAGATGATACGCATATTAATAGGTGAGAATGCTAAGAACGTTAAACAGTAACACAATAGACTGGATGCTACCAACTGGTGATATTAAGGCGGCTTTCAATGATATACCGACTGGACATACACCAACTTATACAACCGATGATAGTTATAGAGATTTTTCTAAATGGGAAAACTTAAATACTCCAACACCACTTGACAAAGAATCTGACAACTACTTCATATATCCACCGAACCCAGTAATAAAAGGTAAGTTCATCTTCCCTCTTGAGTGGAAACACTTAAATCAACATTTTTTCTTAAATTAGAAACTAATCTCCTCGTTTTCTATTTCAGTTGAGCCAAGTGAAGATGAACAGATTATTCAAAACAGAGATAATTCACAATTACTTGAAGTACAATATTTAAAACCGTTGACTACCAATAGAAATGATCAAACAGTTACTCAACCTCAAATTCAGTCTCCTTTGGTTTATTTGAATTTAGAATCACATCCTAATCCACCTAATACTGAAGAAATGAAATTAGAAATATTAAATGAAACAGTATCATTGGAATCCCACATGACTCCAGTTAAAAATTATAACTCAGATACTATATTTAATCACTGGTCAACAGATTCTTTATTACACTCGACAAAATTTAACACTGATACTGTCTCCTCGAATTATAGAGGCTTATATGATAATGCATATACCATATCGGAAAATCATACACCATGGTCTACATATCAAACCAATGATATTGTTATCATTCCAAATATCAATGGTAATAGTAATAATAATGGAATTATCAGTGATCAGCGAAGCTATGTAACTCCAGAAAGTGTTCCCACTTGTTCTACATGCTCTGTATCAAATAAAGCAATAGATAATAAATTTGATTTTAATCAATGTAAAAGTGAATATTGTTACAAAACCATACAGACTGAATCAAAATCTATTCATAATAAATGTCAAAAATTATCTGACCAACAAAAACCATTCATATGTGGTATATCAAGTTGTAATAAGCGTTTTGTTCGAATTGACGAACTTAAACGTCATCAACGTACACATAGTGGAATTAAACAGTTTATATGTGATATTTGTGAAAAAGGATTTACGCGAAGTGATCATTTGATGACACATCGTCGTACACATACAGGTGAACGACCATATGAATGTAAAATATGTGACAGACGATTTGCACGTTCCGATGAACGTAATCGTCATACTAAAACACATATGCGTGATAAACCAAGAAGAGGACGTAAACCTAGAAATGCATCTATTCCTTCTTCAACAACATTATCATCATCATCATCATCAAAAGAAGTAGTAGTATCAACTAACTTTCCTAATTACAATGTGCATCCATATTATTCTATGCCATTGGACCAATTATCATTTGTGCACAGAAATACCACAAATAACAATAATATTGTGTAGTTGTATAAAATATTAATCGCACAATGATAATATCCTCCTCTCTCTATATCTTCCTATCAGTTTGTACAGCCCCGACCTCCAAAGTTCCTCATTCAAACCCAATTATTGCAAGATAATCTTGATTTCATGTAGATAATGATTTTGATTATATAGATCTTTAACACATCCTATATTCTATGCATTTGACCTACTACCATTACTCTACTCAATAATTCATTGCTTCCCTGACATCTCATTGAATCCAGATGAACTATTTCGATTCACCATACTCCCAAGCAATCCTCATCACCTAGAACTGTATAATAAATGCCTTTATTACTGCTTTTAATATTTTCATCATCATTGTTATTTTTTATTTCATATTAATTTAAAATAAAAGGAAACTGAAGTAAGTCTTTTTCATGCTAGAGAAAAGTATAAGATATTGGAAGTTTTATCCAAGAAACAGAGAATAATATACATTATAAATAATAATTTCCAGTCGTTTTTATAAAATAAATGGATTGTGATTATTAGCAGTGTAATCCAGGACATCCGTTTTGTTCTATTTGGGACTTTTGCACTAGTTAGATTTGTGTTGGTCACATCGGGAGTTAAAATTGAAACCTCAATATCAACAATGAGATAACTTGGAACCTTACTAAAACCTTTAAAACAGGCGAAAAAGATGAATTTAATTACTACAGTTAGTTGGCGAGACATAAATGTTGGTCAGATATAGCATCGGCAAAACTATACAAAACTGTACCTGAGACATTAGAGGTGGTCTTGAAACCCATACACCGTATAGACCAGCGAGTAAACGGATCACCAGGAAGTGACGAAATCTAAACTTGTTTGTTAGTTAAGAATTTTTCGCGATTTATGATCGATTTTAACTATCTTAAAGGGGACTGTTTTTGACATAAAAACTCGGTAAATAATTGGATAGTTTATCGAGTTAGAAATACTTTTATAGACGATTTATAATATTTATACAAAGAATCTGAATGGTTGATGTAATGACTTTTTAATATCAATGAATTTTAAACATGACAGAAATATATTGTGCTCTTAAAATTTTTTTAATACAAAGTAATGAACCATTCATTATGTTTCGGATATAATTTACACCAATCATAAGCGACCTAATTTTCAAGTAAATGTATCTTAAAAAGCCATCTGCACAAAATGAATACATACTCTTTGAAAAGTCACTATTTCAATCTTGTTTGGTTCAACACCATATCATTTATTACTGTGAATTTATTAACTAGGGCCATCTGTCACATTTTCAATAATCGAGTAACGTTATATCTAACATTTCAATTGGTGAGTGCCACATATTGAAGTGTAATTTTCACTAGAGATTTCATTTCAAGCGATTAGAGTTATCAAAAATTGCTGTGTATGAACATGTCACTGTAGGACAGTCCAATATAAAGGATAAAAAACACAGATACATATAATTTTAAAATCAGATCTTGAAATGAAATCTCTAATGAAAATCACATTCTAATATGTGGCAATCAAACACTAATTCAAATGAAAAAATAGCTAAAAATGCTGGTTTAGTTTTGTGTTAAGCTGTAAAGATATACATTTACGTAAAAAAAAAATGCACATTAAAATTCGGTATTTGATTCAGGACGGCTAATCAGGTTCCATATTTGGAATAAATTCATGCTAATTTCCAGATATAAAATAGGATGTGAAACTTCTACTTTTTTTTAACACCATAAACAACATACAATAACATCTTATGAAAATTAATTTAATTTAGTAGAATCTGTCAATGATTGGAGTAAACAGCCATATTATATAACCGGAAAGCGTTAAGTTCTCCATAAAATACCACACAATTTATAGGCAAAAAACCATATGAACGAATAAGTTCGTATAAATTTGTCGATAGCGTCCCCGGTAAAAATATTATACGATGAGGAACCGAATCTCTGATATTATGTCAATGTTGAAGAGATAACTGATATGTACCTAACTGTACCGGTAAACACAAAGTCTAGTTCTAAAACAGTCTATTGAGTCTCTCCAACACTCAGACAAACTGTGCAGAATGACTTGGTATCATTTTACCACTACCAGTAACTCACTTTACAGACACGAATTGTGTGATTTGACTCTAGATCACATTCCAGTTATGGAGACTACTGGTACTACCACCCTGTTACTCAAATCGAATCATGTAGAAGGGAGTATGAGCTAGATAATTACTGACCAAAAGTTGAGCCCTTGACCGCCGAGTCACCGCTTACTCTGTAAAATAATAAATCTAGTTGATAGGATCAAATGGATTATTCTCAAACCCCTTTAATAGGATACATGTAGGAATTATGAGGTAAGTAATCTTTTTTGAATATTAACCAATATGTAATAAGAACATAAATATACTCATCAAACGCTTAAAAGTTTGTTACCATGACGATAATTATTTATATATGATAGACTTCAACTAAATCTCTTCATATGAAACTGACAACGATAGTCTTGTTATTATCAACATTAATAATGAACCTCCCATGGTATTCCTACACAAACAAAAAAAAACGTAAAACTTCAGAAAATCAAAGATGATATGTGCTGTAAATTTTTTTAATGAAAATTGAATCAATAAAAGCTAAAAATAAACATCAAATATATGCACGCATATATATACATATAACATATATATATGTTACATATCGAGAAAATCAACGTAACAGAATGTTTGAAGTTAGTTATGTATGAATACAACTAACTCAAATACATATTCGAATAGATTGTACAATAAGAAAACAAGGAAAGGCTTGAATTTTGTGGCGTTCAACATGAGTTTACAATCAAATTGTATTATCCATATCTGGGCAACCTTGACGCCATACTTCAGACCAATTTTGTTTACGAAGGCGTTGTTGTATAAGTGTTTCTAGTTGATTACGTGTATTATTATCCAATAGGTCGTAACAAGCCTAAAACAATATATATTGGATACAGAAAAAGCATTAAATAAATTTCAAAAATAATTAGGAGGATATATATTTTTTGTACATCAAATATATATGGCAAAATTGAACAAATTATCACTTTTGGTGTTGATATTGTAACCTGCTCTTTTCTTGAGGAAGGAATTATTAAAGGACTAAGTGATTATATCGTGTTAATTCGGTAAGAATCGAATACAAATGATCATCATTATCTTTACGATTAATAACATCAACATTTCGGAACATTGATCATAGTGTTCGCTCTCAACGACTGGAATCAACACCATATGGTTAGATTTCGTCAGTAGTCAAGTAAACAGACTGTAGATATGAAGCTAAAATTGATAAATAATTTTCTAAAACTATGCGTAGATTAATATCCTTCTAGTCCGATAGAAATCATGTGAGATTGTACTATTATCCTGAATGAGACGTAATTAGTGGATTTTAATAGTGTCCTGAGGGAAACAAGTATTATTAATGGCAATTCAATGATAAGCGCACGACATTACAAATCAATTGGATTTAGAAATGTAAACTATTAAATGATAACTCAGTGGTAAAGACGCATCCATCTAAACGGGTCCTTAAAGCGTCCAAGACGAGTATGAAATAACCGTTCGCTGGGGATACCCCTTAATTCATGATGAAATTAACTTTCAAAAATTCTCACACAACCACCACAGTAAAATAGTACATAATTTAAAGTGTTTATTTCTCCTTAAATTCATCTTAATTGTTACAATTTTTTCCTACTATTTCTCTATGAATACGTGTCCACTGATTAATCAATCGTATGTATTACTGTATGGTCGTAATACTGAGATTGATAATAGTAATAATAATTCACTAATTAAGTAACGGGAAAAAACGCCTCACAACTTTAAAGCATGACATGATGCGTGGGTGGCGTATGGGAAATCAAAATTACTGATTACTGTGAGTAGCAGCAACAATAGTAGAAGCGGTAAGGGAATGAAAAAAAAAACTAATAAAATTTTTTATCTAGGCGGTCAAACTTGAACATGTACATGTATAGATTTATTTACATGTATGTCTGTTTACTTATGTTGTGTATTATGCCGCAAAATATGAGATAAAAAATAGAATAAAACAAAACATTATTATTATTATTATTATTATTACATAATGGTGATTCGAAAGAAGGAAAAAAGAACGAGTAAATTCTTACTAGGAATACATTCTAATATATTTTTTTTAAACTAACAATAATAAAAGGAGACGGATAAACTGTCGTATTTACTCTTCTTTATTCCCTATTATAATTAATTATTATCCTTATTGATTTGTCTACATTAAAGAGAAATGACTAAAAGAAGGCAATACTAGACAAATATTTGTGTTAGAGATTATAATTTAAAATATAAAAAAGAATTTAGTTTCTTTTGTTTGATTGATGCTCGGAGTTATGCAAAACAGCGACATCGACGGCAAAGGAAAAAACATTTCGATAGTATAATAAGAAGACGAAGATTATCAGAACTATGTGATATATTAGCGCTTTACATTTCGAACAATCTGATCACATATATACTTGTTATTAAAACATTTATATGTAAAAATAAAAGGTCAACTAGACTGGAAATGAAGGTTAAAACGAGACAAGGATAATAAAGAAAATAATGTGATAACAATTTTAAACTTCATCACTCTGGATAATAGGTCAATATTACCAGGGTAGGTTTAAGGTGAGAGCAAACTGTTTTTTAGTACATTAAGGGGGTTTGAATTTTCGTATGGCTAAGGCTTCAATAAACCTTAGTATACGCCTTTTAACACTTTTGTACAACACCAGAAAAACCGAGTCCAGATCAATCTTATGATCTGTTCCAACTATGTGTTTAGCAATAGAGGATGATGGATGTTTATCTTCTACTCTTATTGGGTCATTTGATTTTAATAGTTGAATTCATGGGTCGATTAAAGCTAAACCATCATGGAAAACCTGAAAACACTGGACGATCGTTTCGTCCTAGTATGGGCCACCCATGCTAGTTGACTTAGAATACGAAGATTGAA